TCACTAATTGCTCCTTCTTGTTTAGTAGGGGTCCTTTGCTGCCCTTTACCTTCCTTTTACTCCCTACATACCTAAAAAAACCCTTTTTGTTGTATTTAATTTGTGTTGCCAGCCTCAACTCTGTAGTTGCTTTGGCCTTTCTAACTGCCTCCCTGCAAGTGCAGGCCAAGTAGGTATAATCCTCCTTGGTAGCTTCCCCCTGCTTCCACTGCCTATACGCCTTCCTTTGCGCTTTTCGGCTCCCCTGAATTTCCCTGTTTAGCCAAGGATGTTTTTTGGCTCCTTTTCCCCTTTAGCCTCATGGTAAAATTGGGAAAATGTGGTCTTGACTACTTTACGGTCTAGTGGCTAGGTAACTGGCTCCAAAATAGGACCCAGAGAATATTAATAAATGGAACTGAGTCAACAAAGTGGAAGGTGACCAATGGCATCCCTCAGGGTTCAGTATTTGGACCAGTGCTTTTCAACACATTCATCAATTATTTGGATTCAGGTGTTAAATGTGAACTGGCAAGGTTTGTGGATGACATCAAATTATGGGGGAGTATGGTCATGCTCAAGGACAGGCTAGCAATACATGCTTACCTGGGTAGGCTTGTGAGGTGGATGGAGAAATGTAAAGTGCTTCATCTGGGGAGAAATAATCCACAACACACTTACAGTCTTGGCAATGCTAGACTTGCCAGAACCACAACTGAGAGAGTTCTGGGTGTCGTGATAGACCACAGAATGAATTTGAGCCACCAATGTGATACCATAGCTGACACAGCAAATTAAATGATGGCATGCATCTACTAATGCATCTTGATCAAAGCCTAACTATACTTGGCCTTGGTGGGACCACAGATGGTGTATTACATCCAGTTCTGGGTGCCGCACTTCAGAAAGGATGTGGACAAGCTCAAGGGAGTCCAAAGGAGAGCCACACATGATTACAGGTCTGGAGAACAGGTCATACAAGGAAAGACTTGGGACTGTTCAGCCTGGAGAAGAAATGACTCAGAGGGGACTTGGTGGCAGCCTATAAGTATATTTGGGGTATGCATCAGGGCCTGGGGGAGCACCTATTCACCACGGCACCCCAGGGGAAGACAAGAAGTAATGGGCATAAATTAATTGAAGATTGCTTCAGATTGGACATAAGGGCAAACTTATTTACAAGTCAAGTACCAAGAGTCTGGAACAGACTCCCCCCAGAGGTGGTACAGTCACCCAGCCTGGTGATCTTGAAAAAGCATCTTGACACCCACTTTGTTGGGGCTATCTGACCCCAGCAGTCTTTCCTGCCCAAGTGCAGGGGGGCTGGACCCAATGTTCTTGTAAGGTCTCTTCCAGCTCCTAACATTCATTTATGAACCTCTTGGAAACTGACAGGTTTGTGTGCTACCAGGTGCTCAGGCAAAGGGATATGAATCTGTTTGTAAAGATTTAGTAGACATGGACACTGCAAAAAGAACCCCAAGCCACATCTCTAGGACAGGATCTAGCAATTTCATTTATGCTTGAAAACAAGTGAACATTTTCTAACTGACTTCTAGGGTACATATGAAAGTTAAGGGGAAATTAAGGGGATGTTAGATCATGTTAAAAGTGGCACCCACTCTAAATTAGTTCACCTGGGTGTGTACCTTACACTTAGATCCCTAGTTAAGTTGATTTAAGTGTAAACTATACAGCTTTTAAGGTTAGATCAGCGTAAAAATGGCCAACCTAGTCTAAGTTAAGTGCACCTCTGAGTTAGTATAAATTATATCAGTCTCACTGGACCTAACCTAATTGAATTTCTGTACAGTTCTCAGTGCAGCTCCAGGGCTGGGAAAGCCCAGTCACTGGCCAGACCCAGGGCTGTACTTTTTCTACCTCCCTGCCAGGCCTAGGCTATTTTTAGCCTCCTAGCCCCTTGCCTCACCCCCAGGTAGAAAAATACTCTGTGAACCAGCCAGCCGGTCCCTCTCTTTTTGACTGCCAAACCCACCATCCTGCAAGCCACTCCTAGCACTGGCTTTACTAATTATTGCCAGGGCCAGGAGCCAGGGAAGTAAGTCAGGTGGGGGAAGGGGAGAGGCAGTGTTGTGTTCCTGGGAATGGTGTAGGTTGTGAGGCTAAAAATAGCATCTGGTCCAAGGTGTGGAGATAGCGCCCCCCAGCCCCTTTGCAAGCCCTGCTAGTGACCTGATCCTACCGAGTCCTCCCAGATTCCACCAACCCCCACTCCCAAAGACCCTGATAGCTCTCCCAATCCCTTAAGCCTGCCTGCAGATCCTGCTTGCCCCAATCTTCCTAAGACCCCCAATTAGCTCCCCCCTTGTGACTTAGATTAAATCAGGTGGCCATTTTTAACTTGATCTAACCTCCTCCTGAGGTCTGTATGTACCCCTAGATTATTAAAGCTTCCTGATTAATGAGCCTTGAAGTAGCACAGTACATGGCAATTAGATTTCAGAGCAATCAATATGGCAGCTGATAACCTTACAAAAGCAGTATCTAACCCCACTGTCTTTGTTTTCACTCTATGCATGTAGGGTCTTTAGACCTTGATTCACAAACAATTAGTGTAGAGTTTCTCAAACTGCTGTGAGGCTATTTTTCCCTATGAGATGCTATTCACTCTCAGGTTGCATGCAAACAAGCCTAGGAAAGCTGCAAATATGAAACATTTTTCTTTCTTTGTGGAACTTTTTTACTTCAGACTCAGCAAAATCACAACTGCCTATCGCATTCTGAATATTTTATAGAGTCCTCTGGGGTTTGCTGGATACTAGTAGAAATGAACTAGTAAGAAATAAAAATTAAGAGGTTGCCCTGTCTAAATGTACTGAATATTCTTTCACTTCTAAAAAGAATCCCAAAAGGTGCATGCATAAAAAGACAGAGCTTTTGGTGTTACAGTACAGAGTAGAACAAGGAAAATCACAGTTATTTTTTAGGCTGACCATGAAATGGTCAAAGAAGTATTGTTTTTGCTTATATAACTGAAATGTATGTGGAAAAGTATATACAGATATAGACGTTTACTGTATTACTTATCTAACTATATGTATAAAATGAATAACTAAAGCAAACCTGCACTTTTGATTTGAAAATGCAGAATTAGACTTTTAATGTCACTGGAATTGTATTACTTCTATTTCTGTATTGATTCGTTATGGTAACTAGCCTGCCCAATGTTCAATAGAATTTGAGAGCATTGGAACCAAAAATAAAATTAATAGTTTCTGTGGTCTTGTTAACCTGCACTATGTGAACAGACTCACGTGCCTATCTCAGGATTAGAATCTTGGCTATAGTTATCTAATCAGGGAGCCACAAGCATATTATGTGGTTTATGATAAGTAACCAACACAAGTTGAACATTATTAAACATCTTTTGTACAATAAAATTCATCTTTCCTGGTAACTCACATTAGTAAAGTTCAAATACTTTAATATGGAAATGTCCTTGAAAGTGCTGTGAACATAAACAAGCTATAACTTGCTTTTGAGTTTTTATAGATTGTAGACTCTCTCTCTCTGTGTACACACATACACACACACCCCTACTGGTTCCTCAGTTGTTGGCATGGAGATTACTACCATAAAAACTCCCGAAATGGCCTTGTTATGTTGCTGAAGTATTTGACAAAATAGATGTTTTCTAAAAGAAAGTTTTGCACTTTTATTCTGAGCAGCACTGAGGAAACATCTCCCCCTTTTCCTATTGTGGTATCTCACATTTCTGTCCATCCTTCTTTCCATAGCTTTGTGTCACCAAGGATTTTCTTTAGTTCAGGAAAGAAGAGAAAACACCCCTACCCAGTCCTTCTTCCTATGAAATACTTCAAGGATTTGGGAGACATCCTGTGGATTAGCAGCAGTGATCTAGCACTTGCTACTAAAAGGCTTCATAGGACCCCAGTTGCTCTAGAGATGAGATTGGTATACACATGAATTGAAGATAATGCCAAGAACATAGGACACCCATTAAACACTACTTTGTGTTGCTTTCACCATTGCTGCATTGTATACTCCATCATGATACCTCCAGGATTACTTTGACTAAAAAGAAATGGGGCTTATGTTAATGTACAACTCTGAACACAAAGTCTACAATATAAACAAACAGCTGACTGATAAATACAGACACTTTCAAAATGGGCATCCTATTTTCCAACATTTGAGCCATTCAGGTCTGTTATTGTGGTCTGGGTCCATTCCCCACCCCCACCCTCAAATGTATTTAGAAAAAAATCTCTTACACATAAATAGGCTTATGCAGCAACCTATGAAGTTTTCATTGAACGTTGTCCTTGATGATGCATGATTCACTGAATAGCAACTGATAAAAGTGACACATATTTGCTCTTCATAAGCAGAAATATTGCTAATTATTTTAACTTCAATAGGGTTGTTTATTCATGAAGATTGAAGATGGTATTTTGAAACCTAAGCTACTAATTTTGACTTTATCTTGCAAATGGCAATCTGGTTTGACATATTTGTAAATTAGGGCTATTTCGTTTTCTTGAAAACAAACACAAGAACTTCCATAATCAATCTGTTATTGTATCTGGAATCAACAATTCAACCCATGAACTTGTCATCATCTCTCAGTTACTGCAACTATAATACATAAGTTGCATGATCCCAATGTGTTTGTGGGCTGGAGGAAATGGGTTTTGTATTGAAGGATTCATTCAAAGGTAGAATGATATACTTTTTACCTTGAGAATAAAAAAGGAAGGGAAACATACTATTTTTAGAATTTTTTTGCTTATGGAAACTTTGTTCATGCTCTGCACTTCACTACCAGAAACACATTTAGTATCACAGGCATCTGATGCTTATATCCCTCTCAAATCAGTACAAAATAATGAGGCATAATACTATACAATACAGAAGAAGACCGACATTCCTCAATACATTTGTTATTCATTATAATGCACTATACTATTGTGTTATTGTATTAAAAGACGGTAAAATAGTATTTAGTCTTATGTATTTTTGTCAATATTTGTTCTCAGCTAATTCAGACCATCAGTGCAGTGGATAAAGATGATTCAGTGGAAGGCCATCACTTTTACTTCTCTCTCCAAGAGGAGGTCACAAACAACTCGGGTTTTTCTGTCAGAGATAATCAAGGTAGTGTCACTCATGCAGTTTTTAAAAACTCCTTCATAAAAGATGCATATTTTTAATGTAGTCACATTGACACGCCACACAATCTTTCAACTGTATAGACATTAGCAGTGTAAAGTTTGAATCCGAGTACAAAAGTTTTTAGGCAAAACTTTTAAAAATAATAATTCTAACATGCTGATAAAAAAACTGCTTTTAGAAACCAAAGTTTAACCAACACAAGGCAGTATTAAAATACAAAATAAGATGCTTAGCACAAAAAAGGTTGATGGGAATAATTTAATACTTGGTCACTAATATATAAAACACGCTCTAGACACAACTTTCTAACTAACTCTTACATTGTCCTATGTTAATTTTTTAAATACAGGAGAGTATTCAGTAAATAAAATGGAGAATTAATATTAATAAGGTCTAAAAAACATACATACAAATTGTCAGTTATATAAGATCACTTATGTTACATTTTAAATTTTGGATACTGATTACCAATGGCATCATATAAATGACATCTCTATTTAATGCTATATAGCTCTGGTATTGATCCAGATTCTTAAACAGAATGATATAGGGGGATTTCAATCGAAACTAATCTGTAAAGAAAACTTAAGTTCAACAGCTGATGAGACTGCAGAAAAGAAGACCACTTAAATTCAGTCTTCTGAGACTTAAAACTGCTACAGACTCCACTAAAGTACACATTGTTCATATTGACTTTGCTAATTATTTGAAAGTTCTGGCTAGGTGAATAAATCAATGGGACTAACTTTTGGAAAGTTCGGTCTATGTCAAATAGCAAACTATGCTATTTAAACTAATGCTCCAATGCCAAAGTCAATGTTTTAATGTTTCATTTCTCAGCTTCATTAACCTCTCACTCACTACCAGGAGGTGGAACCCTGCTGGGTTTTGGACAGATGGTGCATTGCCTCTTTCCATCTTGTGTACTTCACACAAGGTCCAAGGACAGGTGTCTTTGAGTGACATCACAAACACGTGCTGCCGGACATAGAAATTTGTCCCCAAATTTCTGGAATTTCAGGAAGATATTAGACTAAGGCCCCATTCTCTCCACCTTTGCCATGTTCATGAAGCTAGATGACTAAACTTGGACAGTTCTAGACCTGAGGAAAACCTGAATCTACAAAGGTGGCACAGTTCTTAATCAATGCCTACTCAGAACTATGCTTAAATAGCATTATATGATCTATGACATTACAGAATTCTTTTCAACAGAGGCCAGTGCAATTGTTGCCCTGAGATCTCAGGATCTCAATACTGCGCTGTTAGACAAGAGGGTGTGACGCAATTGCACATATACAGACACACAAATCAGTTAGGTGCATACACACGCACGCTACCAGCTCAGGCACATACACATCCAAACCAGCCTAGGCACATGCATACCTATCACCAATTCAAGCACATACACTATACAATCCAGAAGTTAGACACAGATCACTAATTTGTATATCATGCACACAATGACACAATGCCATATGAAGGGCACACCACACACACACACACACACACACCACTCACACTAGCAACTCAGATACGCACACATTCAAAATAACTAGTCTGGGTTCATGCACACCTATCACCAGTTTAAGCCCATACACACTACACACACCAAATTTAGACAGAATCAGTTACCAGTTACCCAACCTGCACCTTCAGTACACATATGTGGGTTACTAATTTATATACCACACACACACACACACACATACACACACACAATGATATCTATATATGTATATATATGTGTATTCACTAATTTAAAAAAATACCACCCACCTACACATACACACAGGTGAGTTCCTAAGTTGGGTGCTGTGATGTGTAGGTATGTATGTGCTTGGTGTACTTGGGATACTTGGGGAAAGGTTAAGGTAAGAAAGTAGAAGTGTAGGGAGTTAAAGTTACCAGGACCGGGATTAGAACCGGTAGACTACAGGGGCCTGGCTGAAGAACTGAGGCTCGGGGGCAACTTTAGGTTAATTGATCTTAATTGATTAAAAGACAATGCCCAAAGCCTGCAGAACAGGGAAGTGATGCCAGCACAGAGGCTG